CATCATTAAGTCCATAGATCTTTTTGTCGACAGTGACCTCAAAGTCTTTGACTCCACACACCAATGATATTTTTTCTGAGTTTAGGACGCAATTATCTGGACTTAGATAGTAAATATTTCCAAATCTGTCAAATCTGACAGCCTTTGCTTGGAAAGTAGAGTTAGTTAGAGACCATACATTTAATGCGGTATTGTGAATATAGATATGGTACTAAGGAGTTGACAACTCTGAAGATATCTTTTGAATGGCATAGACATCACCATCAGGGGAGGTTTAAACATCAATAAAAGCATTGATCACTGACCACGTAAGCTCTTAAGTTGCATTCCAGTTGAACTTGTTGGTAGCTTCTTGTCTCCAAGCACTCTCAGCTCTGATCTTCTATAGAGCTTGATTGACTTAGATTGCTGTCGATTGCGCAATAAATAATGCAGCTGATAGTAAGATTTTACTCATTTAATATATAATAAATTATAGATTTCTAGTAACATTAGAATTAATAGACAAAGGATCCAATAATTATAGAGGGCGTAAAACATAAAGATTTTGGATTATAATTCAGATAAGATGAACTTGTTTAGAATCTACGTTATTTTGAAAGATTTTACTAAACTAAAACTATTCTTGCCAATGCAGAGATTGAAAAACGATGTTTTTTAAATAATTAATGAATACAGAGAAAAGATCAAAAGTGTAGTACTAAATGAAGTTTGCCAAATATAATTTGGGAAAAAAAGCGATTGTGAGTAACCCATAATTGATTAATGTTTGGATTGAGTGATTATATCAAAAAATTATTCTGCATGTGTATGCATTAATATCTTATTTATAACGTATTCATAAGTTATTAAAGTAGAACATTCAAAATGAACTCGTTGACTGAAATTTTATTATGCCGTTGTTCGAAATTTGATAAAGATAATTATAGAGTTTTTATAACAATTTAATAAATGAATGATAATAACTTAATAATTCATTAAGCAGAATACTAAACTAATTTAAAGCTTTGAGAAACTGAAATGATATTTAATGCAGAAAGATCTAAACTACACAGTGATGTTAGTTTTATTAAGCTTACTACGATTCATTTAAGATTATACCGCAGATTCATTGATTTTCAAAAGACATTAATTATTGATGAAACAGGAAGATATTTAATTAATATTATTACTTAGATAGTCTGAACTGTTACTATCTGATATTTTAAATTAATTAAAATGCAATATAATATTTCATTTACGATACTTTATTTAGCTTTATGGGGTTTTGGGGTTTTGGGGTTTTGGGG